CAACCCCACCCACCCCCACCCCCACCCCCACCCCCCCTGCAGGTGGTGCCCACCGGGCTGGACCTGGCCTCGGCGCTGCAGAACGGCGCGGTACTGCCCGCGGTACGCCGCAAGTCGGGCGTGCAGCTGCTGTTCCCCATCGAGGTCCAGATCCGCACCGAGGCGATGAACCGGCTGGCGGAGAACGGCATCGCGGTGGAGAGCTGGTCCTGCGCCGACCGCAGCTGGCGGGCGGCCAGCGGGGAGGACGGCATCGGCACCCTCGACTCCTGGTTCACAGCCACCAGCGAGAGCAACGGCTCCGGCAGCAGCAGCGGCAGCAGCGGCGACGAGTGGGAGGCGGGCGGCGGCGCGCCGCTGGCAAACGGCAACGGTGCCGGGCGGGGCGGCGCTGCGCGGGGGGCGGGCGCGGCGGCGACTGCTGCAGACTCCGCCCGCCGCTTCCCCTTCAACCTGGGCATGCTGGTGGCCAGCATGGCTGGAGGAGCCAAGCAGCCGCAGCAGCAGGCGCCCCGCGGCGCCAACGGCAGCAGCAACGGCGCGGGCGGCGCCAACGGCAACGGCCGCGCCGCCCTCAACGGCGCCGCCGCAGGCGGCGCCGCCGCGGCCCTGAGCAGCGGCGAGGGGGTGCTGGGGGAGGGAGCCATCGACCCGCAGGTGCCTTGCTTTCTTGTTTGCTGCTGGTGGTGCTGGCGGGCGGGCCGGCATGCTTGGCCTGCGCGAGCGGGCGACCCGAGCGGCGCAGGCTGCTGCCCTGCAACTGCCGGCGTCCCCAGCCCCGTGTGCCACAGCGGCGCCGCCCCTCACATCTGTGGTCTGCCTGGCCGGCCACGTCGCGACCTCTGCAGGTGCTCAGCCGGCGCATCAACTGGCTGAAGAGCATCCGGGAGTGGCAGTCGGAGTTTGTGGGCACGCTCACGGGTGGGGTTTAGGGTTTAGGGCTGGGGCGTGTGGGGCTGGGGTGTGGGACAAGATGCGGGCGGTGTTGGGCTGGGCCGGGCCGGGCCTGCGGCGCGCCGTGCCTTGCCGCTCCCCCTGCCTCCCTCCTGCTGTGCCCCCCACGCGCTCCGGCTGGTCACCGTACTGCCTGCTGCTCACCCTGCACCGCTTCCCCTCGTACCGCCTGCCCGTACCGCAGCCTCTGAGTTTGTGGAGTGCGTCACCGACGACCTCCTGGGCCAGTCGGTGTTTGTCTTCACGCCCTCGGGGGAGGTGGTGCGCCTGCCCAAGGTGCGCCTGCCCGTGTGCCTGCCTGCTCGTGGGCAGAGTGCCCGGGGCAGGCGCGTCCCGCTGCATGCTAACCTCGTCCAGGCAGCCACCGCGTCCATCATCCCAACACGTACACACACACTCTCTACCCATCGTGCCCTCCCTATGCCTTCACCCTCCCTGTGCCTCCCTCACTCCCTCCCCTCCACGCCCCCTCCCCAAGCAGGGCGCCACCGTCATCGACTTTGCCTACCACATACACACAGAGATGGGCAACACGATGGTGGCGGCCAAGGTCAACGGCAAGGTGGTGTCTGCGGACCGGGAGCTGCAGAACGCGGGTGGGTGGCGGCTTGGGGGCTGCTGGAAGCGGGCGCTGCACGCCCCCGGCAGACACTCTCGACAGGGGCGGGTTGGTGTGGTGGGCTGGAGCTGGATGGGCTGTCCCTGGTGCGGGTGGGCTGGCGCCGGGCTGCTGCCAGTGGTGCGGGAGCGTGTGGGTGTGTGTGGATGTGTGTGGCTGGGCCCGGGCGCCAAGCAACGAGCGCGCAGCCTTTTTGCGTGCGGGTGTGGGCTGGTGGCGGCATGCGTGTGTCTGTGGTGTGGTAAGGGTGGCAGCGCGCCCGTCCCTCACGTGCTGCCTGCCCCTCCTGTACCG